TTGAGAGTCCCCTGGACTGCAAAGAGAACAAACCTGTCCATTTTGAAGGAAATCAACCCTTAGTGCTCACTGGAAGGACAGATCCTGAAGCTGAAGCTCCAATACAGTGTCATCGAAGCTACCGACATGAATTTGACCACACTCCGGGAGGCAGTGGAAGACAGGAGGGCCTGGCGTGCTCTGGTCCATGGGGTCACAGAAAGTTGGACACGACTTAATGACTAAACAACAACTCCTCCTAACCATAGTGTCCAAGCACACCTCTTACTGCAGCTAATACCAGTGCTAGGCTGAACCTTGGGTCCAGTTAGAGATCCTAGGTATGGGAATTTTATAATTCAACATTCTGAGACCATACAGGCCAAGAGCTCCTCCTAACCATAGTGTCCAAGCACACCTCTTACTGCAGCTAATACCAGTGCTAGGCTGAACCTTGGGTCCAGTTAGATGCTGAACAAACCTGGCACATCCACCAGTGAGGTTTATTAACCTGAATCCCTTTTCTCCCTATAATCTTTGACATTAGGGAGGAAAAACAATGAAACCCAAGGGATCTTCCAGGATGTACACTCTTTAACCTGGCAGTTAGTGCAGAGCTTTGCAGGTCAGGTCAAAAATTACTGATAAAGCCCAGACAATCCTCAGATTGCTTTGTTCTGGCTTATCTTCTGTTCATCAGCTAGAGCTGCTTGAATAGTTAGCATTGCACAGACTACTTGGTGGTGGCGGCAGCATCTTTTTTTAACACTTAAAAAAATAATCATCTAGCAAGCCACACAAAATCATTCTTTTGCGAACCTGAGATGTGCTGGACGTTTACGCTGTGAAAGGCATACTTCGCATCCAGTTCTGAACGCACCGCTTTCGGATCCTTTAAACACCATGAATTATGAAGAACAAATATACCAAGCCTATGTAAGGAACAAGGGAATAGCCATTTCATGATTTAGGGCAGACCCTGTACTTATGGGTGGGTCATAGAAGAATTGCATGAGAAATAACAGGATAACAACCTGTATCATAAAACAATGGTGCTAGTGATATAATAAAATGTATTGCATCAAGTTGTTAAAACCTATTGTGAATGTATGGTACAGCAGAGAAAAAAAATTAAGGTGCTCTCAAGGATTAAGTATTTTTGATGTGGAAGATTTCACTCTGAAGTTGGTGAGTCTCCAGTTGAAAATAAACGTGCAATCCTGTACACGTCTCCTCAAAATCGCACAGAGCTCAGTGATGCCTCCTCACAGGTAGGTCCTTAAGGGTGGATTGGTGGATTGTAACACTTTCACCAAGGAACACTTACTCTGAACTTCACTGCTGTTTTTGTAGAACTAATTTCTTTCTAAATGTGGTATCAGCAAAGCAGATTGCCTTGGAATTGAGAAGTTTCACAGTGAATAGCGTAGCCCTCTTTGGAGATGCCAATTCTATCCATAAAATATTTAATTTTTTGTAATTACAAAGTATTCTCTCTTAAGCATCCTTATCTATTTCAGCAGAGAGCCTCCTCTGTTTCTCATGCAGGCATTTCTCTGACGTTTCCACTTTATGGTTTCAGATACAAAACTTTCTTACTAAACCTTAAGAATGGATGTGAAGCTCGTCATTTTTAAGCATGCCGGCTGTGACCAGCCTACAATATCAAGTGTAAATTTGTTTGACACTATGCACTTAAAACCTATCCTCTTTTTCCAGAGTAGCCATTGCTTCTTGACAGCAAACAAGAGTTTTATATGACACATGTAATAAGCATTGCCTGAGAAATACAGGAAACATTTGGACTTGTCTATAATTTTGAATAGGTTTTATTGAGAAAAATAATCAGAGGCTGGAGCCAAGGGATGGCATAGCTGGGAGCACAGAGCAGGAGAACATTTCCCCACAGAAATTTTAAAAAGTCATTCAAACCATGTATCACCCCAAAAATTTATGTGAGTTTCCATGTCTTATGGGATGGATGCTTTGCGAAACCAATTCACAAGTTGCTATTCGCATATTAGGCCTATGTTTACCATGATAGTGACTCTTGATTTGAAAGAGAACATCCAGAGAGGGTCAGCAAACGTAAATGGGGTGGAGAAAAGTTATTCCCTAATCTTCAGTAAAGTAATCCTCCAGCCCATCCAGTTCCATTTCCTCTGTTGCACACACAGAAGAGGAAGTGGGGGTTGCTTCTGAACTCTGTTGGCTGGTGTGCTTTGGGTCGGAGTTTTCAAGTTGCCTTTGTTCTTTTCTCATTTCCTTCCCGCCACCAAGCAGCTGTTGACTCTCCACAAAATACTGATTTGGGTGGTTCAAAGAAAATCCAATGTCAGTGACCTGTGTAGAAAAAACAAAGAAAGAAAGAAAACAGAACATTCTGGATTACTGTTTTTCTCTCCCTAAAGAGTGCCATCCCACAAGTTTTGCCTAAAGGCTTCCATCAACAGAACGAGGCAGTGGTTTTCAGCTGTTCTCCTTCTGCCCTGCCCCCCTCCCTTGCTGACATATTTATTTTCTAGGGTTGCACACTAACATTTCACTGCTCGAGTGTTGATTGAGACAGTCAGCTTTCAGAGAACAACAGTTCACCTTCTTTGAAATACTGTTCCATTAAAGCTGCTAAGAGCCAAAAGATGTTTAGGTACGTGGTTCTCCTGTTTTGTGGCGATAAGGATGACGGCGCTTCAAGAGACGAGTGAAAAACAGTGGCAAAGACCCGACAAAGAACCCATTACACTGCCAAGGGGCTACGGCAACTACAGGCATTCTTTTTGTTTTGTTCTGTTTGTATTTCCTCAAGAGTAAGAGTAGGAGCAGCAAAAGCTAAAGTAAAAGCCCTGATTACATATTCTTCTATACCAGGGCAAGCAATGTCTAGAGGCTTGGGAACCAAAGTCAAGCCCCAGTCCCCACTGCAGGCCACGTCAGGCCGAGAAATGGCCAAAAACTGCAATTAAAAACAAATCAAAACACAGAAATCAAGCAATATTATATAAGTGGCCATGTGAGCACTTCTGGTTTCTTTTGGAGGGTGGAATCTTGGGGACCTCCCAATAATGAATAATTAATTAAATCGCTTTAATAATTAATGAAATCACTCTAATAATTAATTAAATCACTGCTCCCAATGGCTTCCCCCCCCCAAGGGCCTTTCGGGTTGTACTATACCAAACTCTACTTCACAAACATACCAAGTCTTTGGATCTGGAATGTCTGGCTGAATCTGAACCCAAAGTAGCTGCCACCCATCCACCACAAGCACGCACAAATGCATATCTTTTGGCTATTTGCACACTACCCTAGGTTGTCTTTCCCTGCACAGCTATCTTTAGCCCATCAAGTTGCCAAAGCCAAAATTCCATGTCAGGAAACGGTGATAAGTTGCTACAGACCAAAACTGAAAATTTCTACTAACAAGTCACCATCAGAAGTCTTCACCATTAGAGCCAGGTAGTACCAAATCCTCCTAAGTACTGTACTTTGTCCTCTCCATTCACGATAGATACAAACTTTTCCTGTTTTCCATAATTATTAGCTCATACTTGATTAAACCAGCAATTCTAAGAGGCAAGGCTTTGCTGTTGCAGCAACCTGGGCTGGCCCAGGGGCAAAGCATTCATGCCCAACCACCTGAGATGGGTTGCTGCAGCCCAGGAAATGTTCATAAATGCCTCCCAAATGGAGTGAGGGGGTGGGGGGAAACCAGGTGCCCACATGGCCAGCTCTGGGTTTCCCTTGGGGTTGGGGGTGGCCGGGGGAACCTATCCAAACACTCTAAAAAGAAGAATGCCTCCCTTGAAAGCTTCCAGGAGAAGAAAAACAGTTTCTTCATAGCTCTGTCTCTCTCTCTCTCTCACACACACACACACATATACACGCCACACACACAAACATATACACATTGGGGGTCTCGAGTGGTCTGGCTTCATGCTAAACTGATCTAGAGGTCCTGCCTTTTGCACACTTCTGTTGGAGGCCAAGTAACCTATAATTTTTTTTCTATGCAGAACATGTTTTCAAGGTATAGATCTCAATGGATCATCTTTACAGACATCATTCAAGTGAAGCTGATAAATCAAGGCTGCACTTTAAAGACAGAGGAGGATGCACATTTCTTCAGGGTTTAAAAAAACCTAAGGCAAAGACAGGTATGTGCTTGATAGGTCCCTCTCATTACCATGTTCCTCCCACCCCCAAGCCTCACGGACAGTTCCTTTTGAAAGAAAAACCTAAGGAGGCCCTGTGGCTTGAAATAGACTCCTACCCTGTGCCCCGACACTCAATCAAGCAAGACTTTAATATGCAAGAAAATGCAAGAGCCTGAACCCTTTATGGAGCCCTTTTTAAAAAGGAGTAAAACTTGTAATCTAGACCAACACAGAGTAAAGGACACCAGATTTAAAAACAGGTCTCAGTTTCGACAGCTTTGTATTTCTCCATCTACCCAAACCTCAAAGCTTTCCTCAGATTCCATTAATTTGGAATGGTGTCATTTACACAAAGCTTGGCATCCTTTTGGTGTTACATATTGTGTGCTTTTGAAAAGAAGCTGAAGCACTGATGGTAAATCTGTGTGATCCTGGGGTTTTAATCAGCAAGCACCAAAGTGGCAGGTGATAATGAGACAAGCTGGTATTCCCTCTCCCCACCAAAAATAGAGGGAAGATAGAGAATTATTCCAGTATTCTTGTCTTCTCAAGAGCTTGTTGTAAATGAAGATCTCAACAGCAAGACATGGAAAAGAAAACAAAACATTCTTCCTACAAACATAATCAAGCTACACATTTTAAAGGAAAGACAACAAAAAACACAGTATCAAACAAATTGGTTTTCCAATACTAGATTTGCATGTGGCTGTTTCCTTTAAAAGAAGGGACGCATTCAGTGCTCATTTTAATGGCTACAGCTCTAATTATATTGCTTGCCACCTAATAAGCTTGACAGCTGGCTAGAATACATCCGCACATCTATTTTATTAATTTATTAAGAATATTGGCTCACCCAAATCATGCATGACAGCAAAATATTAACAGCTATTCAAGCACAAAGAACATGTTGATTTGGACATAAATGCACCATTTTATCTGTTAAGGATAAGGATAAAGATACAAAAATGTCCCTTGTGGAGGCCATTTGGAACCAACTGTCCTGCAAGAAAGTGATGCAGTTCTTGCCTCTGAAGCAAACCATCACCAGAACCTCTTTAAACAGGCTTTTAAAGCCAAAATCTTACACAAGCTAACCAAAAAGTAAATACCCCTAAATTCAAAGGAGGCGATTTCTCAATAGACAGGGGACTAAATTTACTGGCAGCCTAAATGACTGGTGACCTGAGAGGGTTTTTTAAAATGAATTGTTATCCTCTGTTCTTGAATGAGTTTCTAGTATTGATTTTATCAACTGTTTTTTATATAATACTTGTTTAATTCTTTTTAAATATTTGTGTACTTGCTGTTTTTCACTTTTAAATACAGTATTGTCTTTTAAAGCAAAAGCATGCTGCTTATATACTGCCCCATAGTGCTTCAAGCACTCTCTGGGCGGTTTACAAGTTAATTATGCAGGCTACACATTGCCCCCCCCCAGCGAGCTGGGTACTCATTTTACCCACCTCGGAAGGATGGAAGGCTGAGTCAACCTTGAGCCGGCTACCTGGGATTGAACCCCGGGGACCACTGCTGTAGACCAAACAGGTTTCCCACTCCTGACATGAGCCTCTGGCCTGATTCAGCACAGCTCTTGTTGATGTCAACTGTAGCTTTCATAAACACTTGAAGTACAGTATGTGTGGAGAGCTCCTCAACTCCTGCTGCACCAGTGTTGCTCAATAACTGTTTCAAAGAACGCTCTGAGGACCACAGATCTACAAGTCTATGGTATGCTTCCATGCTAACCTGTTTTTTCTTTCTTTTGGTCTGATTCTAAGGTTACTGTGTATCTGAGCCTCACTACCAGCAGTTGCTAGATATAAAGTCCTGGTACTAGCTTCTTCCCAACATCATGGCATTTCATCAGGGACATGCATACTGTATTTTCATTACAGGCCAACAGAGCAGCTGAAAGGTGTATTGTAATATTAAACTCTCAAAACATGGTCATAAGCAAAATCACCCAAGTTAACTTTTATTTTGCCTATGTAATTCAGATAAAAAGAAACCAGGGATCTAATGGTCAGCATTCCACTTGAGACAATACATGGTTTTTTTCCCCCCGGAGAACTGTCTTCTACCAATTTAGCTTTGGCTATTTAGGAAATGCTAAGGTTATACATACATATAAAAGGTGGTGAAGTTCTCCATGTGCTCACAACCTTTAAAATATCTAGATAAAATACTGCATACACTTGAGGTGTATTCCAATACTTTAAAGCAGTGGTCCCCAACCTTGGGCCTCCAGATGTTCTTGGACTTCAACTTCCAGAAATCCTGGCCAGTAGAGATGGTGGTGAAGGCTTCTGGGAGTTGTAGTCCAAGAACATCTGGAGGCCCAAGGTTGAGGACCACTGCTTTAAACAACGACCTAAGGGCTGGTTTCTTGTCCTCCTCTTCTGTCTCCTTCCTTATTGCCAACTAATAACTTTTTTAAAAATCAAAGAGCCACAAAAAATACACAAAATGTATGGCTTAACAAGCCAGCTGCTACTCATAGTGTGCTCTGATGGCCCTAGGGCACAGACTGACCAGTGCCCTGTCCTGAATACAGAACAGCAGTTGGTAAATCTAGCTTGTTTCTCTTCTAGTAGAAAATAATACATGTGTAACTGGTCCTCCCAGGCCTTGTTGTTGTGGGTGGCTGTGCCGAGAGAGGCGAGGAAGTCTTTGACTAGAAATAGGGCCTTCTCTGCAGCAGCCCCCCCCCCACTTTGGAATGGTCTCCTATCAGAGATACATCAGGACCCCTCCCTTGAGACTTTAAAAAAAATATTTAAAATGACTTTGTTTGAAGAGGCCTTCAGGGACATTCTTCCCGTCAGGTAGCAGTTTGACCTATGGTTTTTCATTCTGTTATAAAGGGGTGTCACCACCATTTATGATTTATTCACTTATTTGTTTATCCATCCATCTATCTATTTATTTAATTTGTATACCACCCATCTGGCTCCAAAGGGCTGTTTACAACAAAATACTGTAAGACAATAATAAGAGCATCAAATAATAGCAACATAGAGACATCAAAATAATATAAACAATAGGCAATAAATGTATGTTGAGCATTAAGCTCAAAAATACAATGCAAAAGACATTTAGTAAAAGCATTCCAGATTGCAGGTTCAGTTGTCTAGGTCACTGGTTCTTAACCTTGGGTTACTCAGGAGTTTTGGACTGCAACTCCCAGAAGCCTTCACCACCAGCTGTCCTGACTGGGGTTTCTGGGAGTTTCAGTTCAAAAGCATCCGAGTAACAAAGGTTAAGAACCACTGGTCTAGGTTATTGTTTGAGTTCGTAATAGGTTCATGTCTTCTTATCTGGGAGGTGGTGTTTTGCGGGATTTGCTTTCTGTTTTTTGTCTGTTGACTGTTAATGGCTTTGTATGTGATGGCCCAGAGTAGTGAATCTGCACTAAGTGAATGGTATAAAAATTTATTAATTAAGTAAATACATAAATTTACCATAAATAGTCTTGACTCAGTTAACATTAGAAGTCAAACTACAAGGCAGTCCCAAGAGTAAAAATAAGAAAAAGAAAATGCAAGTATTCAAATGTACTTGTAACGGGACTTAAAGCTGTAACTGTTTTTCTGCTGGTGGAGAGTGGAGAGAAGAAGGGGAACAAACAAGTAGATAGCTAGAATTACCCTTTTTCTATTTCATTTCATTTGCTAGGACCAACATAGCACTATTCTATAAATACACAGTTGTGCTACAAAGCAAAACTACATAACCTTATAACACGGGCTGATTATGTGTGCCAAACAATTCACAAATCTGGGATGTCAATGGATAACACAGAACCAAAGGCATCTGATATATAATCATTAACTCAACATAATTAGCTACACATGGCAGTACATGATGAATGTGATCAACAGAAGGCTTGAACTTCCACACAATAATTGCCCCTTTCTTTCTAGAGGCAAGGAACTGGTTGAATAATATTAAAAGAAAGGGAGGGGAGAAGTCAAAAGTAAAAATGCACTCACATCATGGGTCAGTTCAAAGTATTTCTGACAGGCCAGCTGGTAATGCATACCTTTCACCAGGTCCAAAATCTAGAAAAGTGAAAGAGAATCAATAGATTTACAACAAACAAACAAAATATTCTGCAATATGAAATATGACCTTTACATGTTATGTCACCACTGACATGGTATACAATAGAGCAATCTATATTCTACAGTGGTCCTAAGAGTTATAAAGTATAGCACTACTGGAAGTTTCTTTCCTTTCAGTTTTATAAATGAATTATCCAGGAATAGAAAAGAGCTCCTTCACATTTCAACAAGTTTTTCCTTTATAAATAAAAATAGAAAAACTGAAAAGTGAGTGGCAATGAAACTGGGAATAGCTATTATCAGAACATATTAGCATATTGCAAAGTCTCTTCCATGATTTCAAATAGAAACTTAGCACTGAGTGACTGAAATGTGACCTGCTCAAGAAGGCTGTCACTTCCTCATCAGTGTAGGAGATAATCAGGCTAGGCTCCCATCTAGAAAAAATGGAAGTAATTAATTCACAAAAGAAATTGCATGTTTCAACCTCTCTCTAAGATCACTCCTCAAATAAGTTGTTCCTAGCAATGCTCATTGCAATGAGAAAGGAAACTGTCTGTTTTGAACTCCCATTAGAAACATCTTTCTATCTCTTGTAAATACAAATTGCTTTCCAATTCTACCTCATGTAATCTCTTCTGTCCTGCATAAGCACTCATTCTTATCAGCTGAATGCAATGCCATTTGAAAAATGTAAGTTGTGTGTCATCCCCCCCCCCTTCACCATCACATAATTAAACTGTATATTTGCTGCTTATCGAGTACAGAAAACTTCTGGAACTGAGAGATAGCCTCAGCAGAAAGGAACTTCTTGAGAAATGCAAATTTTCAACTCTTTTTCGAAAGGCTACCCTTTCTATGTCAAGCACAGCAATAAACTCTGGCAAAAAAAAAATTCCTGCTGTCCTCATTATTGGAAGCTGGCTTATAGTTATTGATAGATGCAGAAATAATATTTGCTGAATATATCAAGACCCAGCGCTGCCAAAGAAGTGCTTACTGTGTCTGTTTTAGCATTACAAGCACATCTGATTAAATGTCTGCCTTCCTTGTCACTTCCTGTTAAATACTGTGTGAAAAGCAAGTCAACCAACCAAGAGAATCTCATGTCTAGCACTATGGCTTTGCTTTTAAAAGGAAGCAGATAATAACATTTAATTTTTATAAAAGCCAGGCTTCCATAATTGAACTTGTCAATGCAGCTTCAAACAAAACTGAAATGGTGTGCAATAAGATTTTTTGTCTTCTTGATACTAAATGTGTGCTGTACATACCATATTTTTCCATTTATAACACCACCACCCCATCTGGAAGATGCTCATCCCACTTTTCTAACCCCCAAAATTTAGAAAACACAGCTTCAAGTATTCAGTCTCTGGGCACAGAACAATCGGGTATTTTGAGTCCCTGTTGAATCTGAGCCTACAGGCTCCACCTCCAAAGAGGTGTGTTCCAATTGGTTTGTTCAGCATCAGCTGACGTCAGTTCTATAATGCTTGTGATTGGAAGAAGCTAAGCTTCCTGATTGGATTCAGCTAAGCCTCATGATTGGAGGCAGCCTGTTTGCAGAGGCAAGGTATGGGCCATTTTGTTCTCTCCTCAGCATCACTTCCATGTATAAGACACCCCTCAATTTTTAGGGTAATGATTTTAGGAAAAAGTAGTGTCTTATACGCAGATAAATATGGTATGATAAGATGCAGAAACAGGCCTGATCACTTTAAGCGAAGACATCATAATGGAAATGTTCAGTCACAGTCCTGAGTAACATATGGATTGTCACAGAAACACAGGATGCTGCCTTATTCTGGGGCAGATCATTGCTTGATGTAGTCCCATATTGTCAACAATTGACTGGCAACCGAGATTCAGGCCAGATTCTTTCTTCATCTTACCTGGAGACCCCCGCTCTCCCCTCACGGTTTCCCATCGAATTACTAACTAGGCTTAACCCTGTTTAACTTCCCAAATCAGGCAAGATTGGTTGTGTTCAGGGTAGCACAGTAGTCAAATGATGAGTGACAGAAGTTGTCACTAAAATCAGATTTCTCACTTTTTTGCCCATACGAGTATCTTTCAAAGCCCAGACATTATAGGAAACTGGAGCTGTAATCCGAGACACAGTATGAGCAGTTGTTACAACACACACAAACTCCCTCAAGTATGTAAGGAGGGGTGGGAAACATGTGATTCCACATTACCCCCATGCCGTTGAACGGCACCTCTTAGTAACCCTCTCCACCACGCTCAATAAATGGCAAGCAATTATGAGAATTCCAGTCCAACAATATTGAGAGGGTCAGACCTTCTCCACTGCTAATAGGCAGGGTATTTATCAGGATCCCACAGCATCTTACACAAGCAGAATAACACTTGCACAAAGTAAGCTCTGCATTTTTTAAATTTCCAAATCTCACTGGAGCATCTTTTTCAGGAGGAGGAGAGAAGGGTACTGATGTGGATGTGCAGGGTGGGAAAAACTCAATGCAGGAGTGGAGTTTCTCTCACTTCCCTCTAGACTCGAGTTATGGAGATCAGATCACAGTGTACTGTTGCAGCACACGTTTAAAATGGATAGCTACTTTTATCTTCGTATCAATGATAAATTCTTTTACTAAAGGTCAGGTTTGAAGCCATTTTCAAACACAGTAGATACGTCATTTTTAAAAGAATCAATATTTCCAGTAAAGAAATATTGCTGCATTTTACCTAGCCTGACCTTTTTTATTGGATAGGTGACTTAAAATGTGATTGAGATGCAGTTACTGGAACATATTTAGTGACAGTCCTGGAATTCCAGGTCAGCTTTTTGCCACCTCACTATAACTCAACTCATTCTCTAAGAGCTTTGCAAAGATCTTCATTTGCTTGTTTATGTGAAGCACACACCTTCTTTCTTTGCACATTTTATTACTAGCATTCAACATTTAAAAAAAACCATTAGTCCTTCATTTTTTTACATTATACAGAGATTTAACTTGATTTTTTAAATCCAAGATTTTAGCCTGTTCTTAAGATAATTGGTGGTATGCTAAAAAGGCCCAAAGTTTTCAATTTAGTGGCATCCAGGTACCATGAAGTATTACATCTGTCCATAGAGAAAGAACCTGAATTAGTTCTGTAAATACCACACACTCCCATAAAGGACTTTTTTCCCTATCATCTTTAGCAGTGAGATCATCCAGGCAAAATATTACCACTGTAATAATTCATTGTTTTTAGCACTTAATACTGTTTGTTTTTAATACTCGAAGGCACCTTGTGTCCTTTCAGGAGAAAGCCATGGTAAAAATATTTTAAATAAATAAATAAGAGAGAACCACACTTCCTTACATTGATTAAATTAACACAGTGTGAGAAATAACACTTACTTAGAAATACTACTGAGTTTATCAGAAAAGTGGCTACTTTTTGAAACATGTTTAGAATCACGGACTTATTCAAGCAGCTGTAACAAATGCAAAAACCAAACTTTAAGGTTATAGAAAATGGGTAGGTAATGAGGCGTAGATCTTTAAAGAAACACTGGATAATTTTCGATGCACTGTCTAGGGTTGCCTGCAAGAGCTCCCTTCTTACGCACTGCCAAAACATGGAAGCACCACTCCCACTAATGGCACCAACAAGATGCGCACTGCTCCCAAACCTGCCCCACTATTTGGGCACTCAACGGAACACTGGGAAAGTGAATGTATGTGTGCAAGAGGGAAGAAAAGCAACACAGTGTGAGACTCGAATGCACATATATCGGGGTGAGCTTTCATGGATCAAAATCCACTTCTTCAGACACTTTGTTCAGTCAGGTTTGATTCGTGAAAGCTTGTCGTTGTTTAGTCGTGTCCGACTCTTCGTGACCCCCTGGACCAGAGCACGCCAGGCCCTCCTGTCTTCCACTGCCTCCCGGAGTTGTGTCAAATTCATCTTGGTTGCTTCGCATACACTGTCCAACCATCTTGTCCTCTGTCGTCCCCTTCTCCTCTTGCCCTCACACTTTCCTAACATCAGGGTCTTTTCCAGGGAGTTTTCTCTTCTCATGAGATGGCCAAAGTACTGGAGCCTCAGCGTCAGGATCTGTCCTTCCAGTGAGCACTCTGGTTTGATTTCCTTTAGAATTGATAGGTTTGTTCTCCTTGCAGTCCAGGGGACTCTCAAGTGAAAGCTCACACTAAAAATAAATCTGTTCAGACTTAAAATGCTACTGTATTTTACATTTCCCCCTCTCCCTTTTTCCCCTTTTAATTTTTGCCAAAACGCTAAAACAGTCTAACAAAACTACTTCTTTGGTTATGTGCATAAGCTGTCAATCCAAACAATAAGCATGTGGGTTTTACTGTCAGTATTTATACACGACATGGGAAGGAATGTGTAGAAACAGCTTGTCCATGTCCGCTTGTGGCTTGGAATTCTGGCAAAATGCTGGACAAGGTCAACCCTGGCCTGATCCTGAAAGTCATTTGTTATTACCTGAAGCAAGGCTATGAATTACTTAGCTATGCAAGGAAGGCTGGCTATGCACCCTCAACGAGTGTGGAAATAAGTAGCTATTTGTTCAGAAAAATAGCCACCAGAATCCGAGTGAATTAATTATACCTGCATAAGTGCACTGGCATAATTCAGAGCAGAAAACAGCCACTAATTTAAGGAGTCCCTGACTGAATTCCCATTAATGCCCAGTTATGAGACTCAGCATGCAATTAGGAATCTGATTGGGGACTTTTTAATTAGCAGCTATTTGCTGCTACAAGCTACACCAATGTACTTATGCAGACATACGGTAAATATTTACTTGGATTCTGGCCAACAGAGGAACAGTGAATGAAGATTATTTTTATGAGGTACAGTAAAGCAAGGGGTTATACGAACCACGGGTGTAGCTTCCTTTCATTTATTATACTAAACTGCATTTCCTTCTCTTGTCTGAACTGAAATGTTCAGCAATGCTATCTGAATAAGACTCATTTTTAGATATTTGAAAAAACAAAACTTAAAGGATGTTATCATAATTCACTAACAGCTGTACTCTACCAACTCTGCCACTCACCACAGTTGCTTACAAACAATTACAAAAAACCTAAATATACACACCATATTAAACATATAAAATCTAAAAGATGATGGCTGAAATACTGTTATACAGCTCTGTCTGAACAATGGAAATGATGTCATTGTCCATCGCAGATTGCCACTGATTTAAGAGTTCTTCCAGTTAAAGGATGCACACACAGCTCACATTCATTAGAACAAGTTGCATGCACCCAAAAATTGAAAGGTAAAGGTAAAGGTTCCCCTTGACAAATTGTCCAGTCGTGTCTAACTCTAGGGGGCGGTGCTAATCCCCGTTTCCAAGCCGTAGAGCCAGCGTTTTGTCTGTAGACAGTTTCCATGGTCACGGTGGCCAGCACGACTAGACACGGAATGCTGTTACCTTCCCACTGTGGTGGTGGTGTACCTATTTATCTACTCGCATTTTTACATGCTTTTGAACTGCGAGGGTGTCAGGAGCTGGGACAAGTGATGGGAGCTCACTGCGTTGCGTGGATTCGAACTGCTGATCTTTAGACCTTGCAGCCCAGAGGCTTTGTGATTTAACCGCCAGCGCCACCACATCCCAAAAATTGAAAAGGATGTCTTTAATCAGCAGCAATCTACCACAGGCAGAACCTGCCAAACAAGATTTCAGTCCATAACATCTTTATTTGGCAAACTCAGGAAAAAATATGCAAATTTTAAAGACCTTCAGATCTCTTAATTAGACAAGATGTTCCAAAAACCAGAGGGGGGAACATGATAAAAAGTTGTGGGGAGGGGGAGAAATGGTGGGAAAGCTGGATTGTAACAGCTAGATTTAATGTACCATCTGGATTTTTAAAATTTTCAAAAGCAGGGGGTCCAGCACTGTTTCTCTTTCATCCCAGCAGTTACGTGGCAGTCCAAAGTGCAATTATTACATCACCTGGTAGAACAAGGCTGAAATATCTCCAGCTTCTTCCCATGTTTCATCTTAAGACTGAATATGAAGACTTCACAACTTTCACCATGTCAGCCTCCTACTGACTCATTCACAACCAATGAGGTCAACAGAGGAACTGCAAAGTAAAACATGGCTTCTAAAAGGGCGAGCAGCTTTGGACTGACTAGCACGAATAGAATGGTATTTCAGGGAGTTCTAGCAGTTGAGGAGACTCTGGCCAAGTATGACTAGAAATGGTTTATATTTCTGTTCATGCCAAAAAGCAAGTGGGGTGAGTGAGTCGGGCAAAGGGAATGAGTGGAAACACTGCCCTATTTAAGCCTGCCATTCTCTGGGGCAGGAAAAAGTTGGTCTGAAGGCCCTTCTCAGGCAATCCAAAAAAGCATTTTGAAAATGTGCTCAGAGGAGAGGGTTCTTGCCCCCACCTCCCGCCTGTTGCTACTTCCGCAGGGAGAAGGACCCCCTGAAGAGGAAAGCTTCCACATGACGGCAGATCCTGGAAAACCAAGGTCCCTGATCCTGTGGACAGGCTTCACACACAGCACGCGGCGTCTTCCTGAGACCATCCTTCTTCATATGGACATAGTGACTGGCAGGGGGTGGGGCTCGAATGACGGTCTGCTTGCTCCTACTTCAGATTGCCACCTTTTTTTTTCCCGCCTAAATGGGAATCTCTTTTCCAGCCACAAGAAACAGCACAAACCCAGCAGCATATGCAAATGAGAGAGCAGCAGAACTGTATCCTGTCAGCAGTTTCTTACGTCTCTATATTTGCACTCATGTATATTAAGATGAGTCTAAATGTTAAATTACATTGCAAAGTGATTTACTATCTGGAAGGACATAATCCTAGACACGCTGGGCAGCAAATCCCATTGAACACACTAGGACTTAATTGTCAGTTTGGACGTGTAGGAGTGTACATCTTTTTATGACAGTTCAGTACCCAAAAAAAAAGCATTTTTAAAGAAAAGGCATGTGGAACTCAATAGGAACTGCACTATAGAGCTGGCCATCATATAAGACAACTAAAACATGCCATAGCATTAATCAGCTGCAAAATATCTCCCACAGTGTCACAGAAAATTAGAAAATGGCCGAATATATTGCCATTAACAGCGACCCTGATTAGAACCCACGACCCAGAATCTTATTCCCATTGCAGACCTTACAACAGAAACTGTGTAATTGAATGTATGAGGGGATTTTTAATGGTTGATAAAGGTATCACCTATTTTTGCATGTGTAACTGGTGTGCATGGCTGTTGTGGTTGACTGCCACAAACACAGACATGCCCAGGTGGTGCCCCCAGCTGTGCACCTGGCCTCATGAGAGAGGCCCAGAAAATGGCAATAACCATTTGTGCAGTGCCTCTTAGCCATGTGATATTTCACAACAGGGTTTTTAGCCGTGAAGTTATAAGAAGCTGCAATAAATAAGCACTGCTCATTGTCCTTGATGAAATATCAAAGAATGAATTATAGTAATGAAAAACAGAACTATCAATCTACTTGTCAGCACTCCGAAGAGAATACTTCCTGGGGAGGGGGGGGAAGACTGCTGAAGCAAGTGTAGTATACTTTGACTCAAAAGGCATTTTGCATGCATTGTCACACACTGTACATCGGCATTAAAGTAAGCTGAAAGGAAATGTGTTACTGAAGTATGAGAAGAAAATACTCCTTACCTGACTGATCCCAGTGGGAGGGATTTTATATGACTGTAGCTTCTGCTTCAGGAGCTCAGGATCGCTGTGGCGGAATGGGCACCCTTATAACAAAGAACACAGGCAAGCAACACAAATTAAGGCTGTTTTACCCAGGCATTAATGCAACACCATACTCAAGAGCCTGGCTAAGCAGTTTTTAATTGTCTAACAGCTTATTCATAAAAAAAAAAGGTTAATTGCCCATGTGAGCTATTGCTTCAACACTCCTTCTAAATAAAGAGGGCACTTGCTGTGTTTCACAGCTTTCAAGGCTGAGAAGTCACACGAAGCATTACAAGAAGGACGCCAAGGTTCTCATTTATTTGGACAGAAAATGGACTAACTTAAGTTTCTTTCTGATGAGTTTGAAAAAACCACACAAACAAAATTACAGTGCAGCGACACAGACAGGGAAGACTGCAGTCGTTCAGGTGAGACAACCCGAAGAACACAAAATGTTTCAGGAAATGGCACACTTTTATTTGGGAACGGAGTGCAGCTCGTGGTACTCCAAAGGCAACTCCCATGATTTCCCACCAAGGGTCATGGTGGCTAGAGTTTCTGCAGGGCAACATGTTGCCACCTCTGTCCTGCACAGAGAAGAATGTTGCACACATTGCTGCGTTTTATCAAACCATTGGCTAAGCTCAAAGATGCCAAAGCTACTGATGCTACTAATCATGACAGCTATACATTAGTTATAATGGGAGGTGTAGGTACACTTGTTATGATGACCACAGAAAGGGAAGTTCTCATGCCCTGCTTATGGACTTCCCATTGGCATCTGGTTGGCTGCTGTGGAACTCCAGTGCTGGACCAGATGGGCCTTCGATGGGATCCCATATGGCTCTTGCTCTGAAGCTGAGCATTTATATCTGAGACCATTTTACTCCACTGATTTCATTACAATATATAGGCTCATTAGAAACCCAGTTATCGAAAATTCAGTGGGCGTATCAGCCACAGAGAATGTTAAACTGAAATCACCAAATGCCAATGTTTATGAATCTGACTAAAATATATGGAAATATATTATTCTTTTTAAAAAAACTGGTATGCCGGATAAAGGCATCAGTCTGTTCACTCCACTATGAGTAAAATTAAAGAACATGAATGATAATGAGGATAAGATTAGACAATTGGTGTTTTAGGGGCCAGAAAAAAAACTATTGAAATCTAATATTTTAAAATAAAATTGTAAAAAAAGTTGTAAGAGTTTTACATGTTAAAAATGTTACTTTTGTGTGCCCCTCTGTAGAGGGATCATGTTAATTTACACTCTCTATCCCTAACGGGGAGAACTGGATGCATACTATGTTGTATGCAATCTTGGCCTATAAATTACTAGCAGCCTTATTTAGAAGCTTTAGTTAACACAGTTAAGACTCAGTGGTACCGGAAAAATACGGTACTTCTCAAGGCTGTCAGGAGTGATCCAAGACTATCAAGCAGCCCCGAGGGTTGGGCAGAAGGCTAATTGAGCTGCCCATTGCATAGGTGCCTGCAAAATGGCCTGTTTGAATGAAGCAGAAGCAAAAGATTAAAGAACAAGGAGAGGAAGAAAACCTCTACTGGTGCAAGAAAAGACTTTCATTCGCAGTCCCGTTTTGCAGTACATATAGCCTTTGAGGGCAGGGAACATGCAGATAATCTCATACAGAAGCTGCTGGGTTGTGGTTTTGCTCCAAATTACATTATTTTTAAAACATTATCGATGGGAGACTGAAACCAATGTTCATTTTTCTTTGCAGGGCAGTGTTGCTGTTGTTTTTTATTATTTACTTGGGTACAACATAAATGAGTCACTGGGACCTCAATAGCTACCTGGAATCAAACAGGCCTGCTCTCTGTGCTTTTAGATAAAAGTTTTTATAACTGCATTTGAAAAGAGTGTATTTGCTAATAATTAGTTTGCTTTTTATAAAGTAATGGCTTGAGAAAAGGTAGTGGTGTTAGTCTGTGCAAGTGTGTCAGATAAAGTAAGCTGAAAGTGCAAAAAAAAGTCCAAAAACTCTGTTGGACCTTAAAGACTAACTGTTATATTTTAAATGTGAGCTTCTGTAGACAAGTCCACTTCTTCAGACATATGGAGTTCACAACAGAAAATGAGAGAACACTGATAATTGTCACTTTCAGTCCACACATGAGACCACTGACATGCATCTCAAATGATCTCCCGCCCATCCTTGACAAGAAGACTTCACTCTCCCAAGCCCTTGGTGGCAGACGTATACTTTCTTAGACTATGCCCCCAATTTTAAACAACTATTGACACACAATGGACCACACAACACTAACACACACATGGGGACTAAACCCTGCCACAGATCCTGATACCAACTCTGCCCCCACATCTATTCTGGCAACACGATTACCGGACCTAACAATACTACTTACACACAATATCAAAGACACCTTTATTTGTTCTTTAGCTAATGTGATCTGTGCCATCTTTCGCTAACAGTGCCAGGAGAAACAGGGCAATCTCTACGCAAAATAAACAATAGAAATGAACTAGACATCAGAAACTACAATACACAAAAGCCTGTCTCAAATCGCTTCAGTCTTCCAGGAAACTCTTCACAAGATATGAAAGTTGCTATTCTAGAAAAGAAACATTACAGAATAAGAATACAGAGAGAAACAGTTGAGATAAAATGTAATATGCATGATGGACACCCATATAAATAAACTGAGTATGTCAGGGTTTCTTAACCCATTACCAAATATAATATTTACACAAGTGTCTAATGTTACTTTCCTTCACAACTACCATATTTTAGCATATAGTTCAAGGGTAAAAACTTGATATTTTCTGTGCTAACACACATTGTTCCTCTGATGTCTCCTTTAATTATGGTGCTGCTCATAGCTGGTCTTTATAGCAACACAAGCCCCACTCCCCTTCTTTTGCTCTTGCATTGTTTTCTGTCTCTTGTGGAAATATTTACAAAAGAATTGATCACCGAACATAGGTGATAAATTACTGCACATATGATATACAACCATTCACCATTGACTCTCAAATCTGGCATGAATGCTTTACTTGCGAACTCTGTATTTTATTGCATTTCACTCCATATGTCTGAAGAAGTGGAACTGTCCACGAAAGCTCACATTTAAATATAACATTTAGTCTTTAAGGTGCCATAGTTTTCATCTTTTTATTTTTATTTTTTCCCCTTTGGAATTTTGCCTGATATAAAGTACAGTGGTGCCTCGCTTAACGAGTGCACCGTTTAACGACGAATCCACATAGCGATCTATTTTTTTAGATTGCTAATGCGATCGCATTGCGATGTTCTGAATAGGCAAAACATCGCATTGCAATGATCGGTAAGCATTTCACTTACCGATCTGCAATGTTTTTTTAAACAGCTGATCGGTGGTTCCAAAATGGCCACCGGGTGCCCAAAATGGCCACCGCAAGTCTTTTCGCGCCCTGCCCTTGCTTACCGAGGGCACAAAATGGTTCCTATGGCTTTTTCTGTTCCGTTTAGCAATGTTTCTGCATAGCGACGATTAATCCAGAACGGATTAACATCGCTATGTGGGGCACCACTGTAATGGGTGGTGTTAATTAGGTCCATTTTTAGGATGCAAGGGTAAATTGGATGAAAGACCTGTAGGCATATGGACTAAACTGGCCTACAGATATATGGCCTATAGACTGGACTGCTGATCTGTGGAATAATCTGCTTATGGAATGGCATCAAGGATACCTTTGTTTTGTACACAGCACAATTGATTGTTTCCTGTTGGCAAAAAGGGGCTGAACATTTTTTCCAGCCTGGACTTTTGCATGATGGAATGAGCAAAAAAATAAAAGCAACATGACTGTTGTGTCAATAAGGCTCCGGACAAGCTGAAAGACAATGGAACGGTATAGACAGGCTACAAGGTTGGATAATTTCAATGGCTACAGGTCTAGAGTGTATTGTGAAAAGGGTGCGCTGCAGAGCAAAGGAATTCTTTACTAACTAGGAATAAAGAAAAATGGTCTAATGCATTTTCTCCCCACCTTGTCTCCTAACAACACCGAACTAAATTTCAGGCATAATGGTAAGGAAGCCAACCGGAACGCAGTAAAATTAGGGGCATCAGTGGAGCAAAAAGCAGTTGTTACTTGAGACTCAGAGTTACATTTATTCACACTCATATTCATGCTCACAAGCAGATGTTTCTCAGTTTACTTTTTCCCATATTATTTTTACTTTTGCAGATCCTGACTGCTCTGGGCCCTTTGGCTCTTAGTCTGACTTTATTCTGAGAGAAGCTTCAGTTTTAACAATGGGTTAGATTATTTCTGGGATTTTTATTTATTTTTTTATTTAATTTATACCCTGCCTATCTGGTCAATTATGACCACTCTAGGCGGCTATTCTCCCCCCCCCCCACAGAAACATAGTGATTTTACTAATTTATTTTACGTTTTTTTGATTTTCTGGAGCAATTCGGTGCATTCCACTGAGTCTTCAGGAGCGACATATCTTCCTTTCTCAATCTTTAGGCCAAACAGATGGAACATAATTTGCTTCAACTAGAGTGCTGGTGGAAGGCTAGGAGCAAATAGAGTGTTTCATGAAGGGCAAACTGTGGCTAATTTTGCATAGCTGTAATTTCACCTGAACCTGTGATTCAAATTAATCGTCAAATTAATTTAACCTATGGATAGCCTCAGATCATCTCTTGGTTACACCTTTTGCCCACTGGGGCAAATAAAAGATCTTATTTTCAGGTGCCACTGCTGGGGCTCTGGGTGGTTTGATTTTTAATTCCTTTACGCTGCGTTACTGTAAATTGTAGGGAATGCTGAGACAGGCAACTGTGGGCTGTACCTTGTAACTTCTGTCTGAGTAGAAGAATAGCTCTTTTTTCTGAATGACGTAAACTTACTGCAGTGTACGTAGAACTTTTAATTGGTGAATACGTGTTCAAATTTACCTGTTAACAGCAACAAGCTAAGTTCCTAGTTTCCACCATTAACTTCTAATAATTTTTTATTTAACCTAATATTTCAGGCCCTGGTTTTGAGGCATCAGGGGGAGGGGGGAGAGAAAAAAAACTCCAGCAACAGAAGCAAGAAGAGACGAGAAGCGCTGAAAAGCTCAGTGAAGCACATATCGAAATGCTTTTGAATGAATCTCTCCTGTTTGACCTAGTTTTGTAATAAGACAAATCACCAGAAGAGCAGTCGCACACTAGGCTTGACAGAGATGACTGGCATAAGCCGCAAAAGTAACTCCCTGCCCAAACCGCAGCCAGCCAATCAGTTGTCTTCCAGAACTGCTGGATTCCCGTACATTGTGAACATGTCAGGTGTAAGCACTCACCATGATAATCCCCTTGGCCTGGTGGATTGGACATGATAATTTTCATGCAGCTGAATGGAGTATAATCCGTTCTCTTGCCTTCTTTCCCATAGTTGTGCCGGAGGTTGTATGCATATCCTTTGTCAAACTGAATAATGAAAACATTTAAAAAAAAAAATGGTTGGTTTACATTTAAATTGCACATTGTTTGGAGGTAGGGTTCAGTGTCGGAAGCTGAAATATTGGAACACTAACCACTGTATTTGACAATGACTTCCTCCTAGAACAATGTTTGAAGTAAAAACTGACGGTGTGCTATCAGACATTTGATGATCTCTATTCTCAGCAAGTTACCTTAGGGACTTAGAAATCATTTTTGGAGTATAGCCACTTGCCACTGCAGACTGATCTTTCCGTTTTCTACCATCACCATCTCTTCTGCTGGACTTATTAATGAGGCAAAGTAATTATAGTTAAACCAACAGCAAATATGAGAACAATTTTTCCCCTAACACTCAAAACCCTCTTAACTGAGTAGCAGAGAAACCTTAATGTCTACTCAGTCATAAGTTGCACCAAGGTCAGTGGGGCTTATTTTCACAGAAATGCCCAAGAAAATGGCACACTATTATATCCACCTCAAATACTGCTCCCACAAGTATACATCCAAAGTCTTTTTTAAAAAACCCAATGTTTCTCTCCCTGGCTTCCACCTCCTACGGTGAGAAACATCCAACCTTTGTAAGCATGAGACCTCATTTCAGTTTCTCCATTCTAATAAACGCAAAGCTTCTCTGAGCCTTTAGTCTCTTTCAGGCCAGCCCTCTCAGATGATGCACTATTTGGGAAAAGGGTGTGAATTTAATGTAAAGGGAAAGGATTATTTTCTACTCCTTTCACTGGCATGATTTTATACCATCTTTTCCTGACAAGGAATTCTGGAGAACTCGAAAGCTCATCATACTTGTAACTTTTTAACAATCCAAAAAGGATTACGTACAGCCGACCCTGGATTTCCATTTTCTATGAATGGATCGCATGGCTATTTTTTTGTACTTGCCATTGAAACTTGTTCTTGGAAATGCCACCAAGGGAAAAGGATCCAATGATTTTTTTTATTCAATGGAATTTTTCTTTTTCCAAGCAAATCAGTATAAGAACAGAGTAAAATGATCCCTATTCTAAAAATGGTGGGACTGCCCTTGAAATACTTAATAGGCTTGCTAACAATCTAGCTCCTCCGAGGTCAATCTGTTCTATTCTCTAAAATGCAACCTGCCACCCCATGTGGCTAGTGATGGTGCTGAGCATTCCTGCTTTTTATGTTCTGTATTATATAATTACTAGATATACTTGGTAGAAATGCCAATTCATTCTGATGGAAATAGCATTCTATTTTAAATGCCAGTTGCTCCGGTGTATATTAGAAAGCTCTTTCCAAGGCAGTATTTTATGAACTACCCAGTGTTTGATAGAAGATCCAAAATCCTCTTGCTTAGAATAAGCTAAATTGTAACTTTTGGTCCATTCCTCTCATTTAAACCAACTGTTCCTACTGAGATTCTTGGCAAGGGGGCATTACGTATGCTGGCTGTGAATATATACCCTCCACAAACTGTGGTAAGGATGTTTTATTTGCCATGGCAGGACGGACTGGAATTATGTTATGCAACAGGATTTTAGCCAAGATAAGAAAAAATTGAATGTTTACATTTTCTTTGTTGTTATATATGCTGTTAAGTCATTTGGACCTTATGCCAATCCTATGTACTATTAATAACCTCCATCCTAAACACCCTTGCTCAAGTCTTGCAAGTTAAAAGATATGGCTTCCTATATTGGTCTAGCCACCTAGAGTGGTCCTCATCGACCAGATAGGCAGGGTATAAATTAAATAAAATAAATAAAAATAAATAAAAATAAGTTGTGGAAGTGGATAGCAAAACACACCTCAGAGTAATTAGCCTAAGATCTTGAAAGGAATAAAACACAATAGGTTTGGTGCAGATGCAATGCCACTGGTATGTTAAAGAGGAATTATATTTCCAAATTAAAGGTGGGATTTCCTGTTTATTGGTGGATTGCGGGTTAAGAATAACAGAAAAAAATGGACTCAGAATCTGTCCTGTCCATTTTTTCAGACCAAAAGAAATGTGGCACATCAGGGTTTCCAGCACATGTCTGATGGTGTTTTTTTGTATTGTTAAGAGGCAGAACTCCTTGTTCCCACTTCATGTTAAAGGTTTCCCTTTCGGTTTAATAGGTTACTTCCTGTTACTTACTAGAATAATACAAACACAGCATAATTTATGGGAGGAGGGCTGATTTAGCAGTCACAATCATTTTCTCGGTCTTAGCAAAAGTAGAAAAGCCAAAGTGTGGAGAACAGAAGGACGAGGCCAAATAAATACATTAAGGGAAACTGTTCTCTTCATTTATTTTTAAGGTATACTGTAGCGATCACCCTGCCCTGGCTCATGTATGAGGTTATTTGCATGTACCAATGGGAGTTGTTAGGAGGCAGGGTGAGGGGTGAGGCAGAGAAGAGTCAGTTAGAGACAGATTGCGAGAGAGCCTGATGTGAGAAGTCAGTTAGAGAGTCAGAGAGAGAGAAGAGTTAGTCTGTGCAGGGAGGTAGTTGAGAGTGTGGAACTTACAGAGTGTTAAGTGTGAAACAAGTTAAATGTGGATACTTTAAAGTCTTTGAGGAACCTGTTTACGTGAACAATGAACCTGTAACCAATAAACCTGTTTTGTTAAACTTTACATGCCATATGGACCTCCATCTTTCTAAATACGTAAATATTGTTGACAGAGATCAATTAGTGGCAGCATAAAAGGAGAGAATGTGGTGTGGGCCTAAGGTTAGTGAAATAATCTGGGGACACGCAGAGGCACGTCACACATATGTGGTGGACTAGCCTGTTTCTGGAGCTTTGAAACAAAGAATGCAATCAGCAGAAGAATAATCTCTCTCTCTCTCTCTCTCTCTCTCTCTCTCTCTGTATGTGTGTGTGTGTGTATGTAAAAAATTACAGAGCACCTGCAGGAGTATGCTTTGTTAAACCTCTGTTGTACCAAAGTCAAGAGATTTACCAACGAACAGGATGCCTTAGAAGTACAATATAAAATCTAATCTGTCACTATTCCACTAGTTTACTTAACCTTGGTGTGCACCAATGAGCTGATTAGTAATTTAAAGCCTGAAAAAAGAGAAATTTCAAGAGGGAAATACACAGAGGCATGATTTAATTTAATATGTATCTGCATTAGCTACAGGGCATAATTAAAAGTACATCACTCCTTTAAATCTACATAATTATATCCCAAAGACATTCTCATTAGTATCTTTTACTTTGCAGCTAAAATCAGAAGCAGCCTGAGGACTACAAGGTCAGATGTCTTTAAGTGTAATGCTATAAAACTGAAAGTAAAACAGAAGACACCTAATGTTGAATTTGGTGGTTGCCAGCATATATATTGCTGCACACACAATTCCAGCTCACTGCATTAAAAATGATCAAGCTACCCCCCCAATGAATGAAACTGCTGCTTAACAGACAGAGCTAATGCTGAAAATATAGACTGATTGACAGTTTATATTTTATGTTATGGTAACAGAGCTGCAATATATATGTATTCATTTATGGTAACAGAGCTGCAATATTTATTCAAAACAATACCCTTTAACCAGCAATTTGGCTCTTAATTCAGTTAACAGACGGCATATACTTGTCTCAATAGTGTAGTACAATATATGACAATCCTTCATATTATTAACTACATCGTAAGAAAGATCATCCTGAGGAACAAAAATGAACACATATATATCCCCCATTCAAGTCTCTAGAACCACTCACGATGACACCACTATGATACTATGACATCGTAGTGTTAATTGGGACTGATTACAGGGATCACATAACCCCCAGTTAAAGCAGCGCCACTGGCTGCCAATCTGGGCACAATTCAAAATGCTGGTTTTAGCCTATAAAGCCCTAAACAGCTTGGGTATAAGCTATCTCAAGAACTGCATTTCCCTTTATCAGCTGCCAGGGGAGGCTGTTGCCTCAATTCTACCACCTTTACAGGTGCACTTGGTGGAGGCATGGGAGAGGACCTTCTCTGTCGCTGCCTCCAGACTCTGGAATTCCCTCCCACTGGAAGCTAGGCTGGCCCCATCTTTGCTGTCCTACAAGTAGACAAAAGACCTTTCTCTTCAGACAGGCTTTGCCTTAGTGACTGGCTGTCAGAGTTGGAGGGGGGGGGGTTAATGGACTGTTGTGCCTTGTTGCTTTTGAATGTGGTTTTTGATGTTGATATTGCCGTTTTTAGTGTGGTATTTGAGTCTTTTTAAATTTTTGTAAACATACTCTTCTAGTTTTTAGACATAGTCTTTTAATGATGTAAGCCGCCTTAAGTTCTTTTTAAGAAGTCGGGGGCGAGTGTTAACATATTTTTGAATAAATAAAATAAAACAGTGTCAAGAGAACTAGAGTCTCATTTCATGCAAACAACAACAACAACCCCACAACATATCTTAATATGTTAAAACGCTGTACTGCAGGTAAAACTCTGCTCACGACCTGGGGTTCAAATCCCAGGTAGCCGGCTCAAGGTTGACTCAGCCTTCCATCCTTCCGAGGTCGGTAAAATGAGTACCCAGCTTGCTGGGGGGGGGGCAATGTGTAGCCTGTATAATTAAAAATTGTAAACCGCCCGGAGAGTGCTTGTAGCGCTATGGGGCGTTTGCCACACTGACTTGACCCAGTCCATCAAACCCTAATACAGTAGTTGCTATCAGGAGTAAGAACTGACCTATCAGGTGATTGTACAAGACCTGGTTACAGAATGTAACTATTAACTGAAGATTTTTTTTTAAATCAAAACTGAAGCTATGCTATTGTTCACTAGATCTTGAACTTTGCTATGTGACCTGTGGTCAGTCATTCTTCTTCAGCCAGAGGTATTTTACAGGGTCGCTGTGAAGACAGAGTGGAGTGGAGAAGAGTCATGTACACTGCCTTGAGCCCACTGGAGGAATGGCAAGATATAAGCACAACTAGTAAACAATTAATACATAATAGGAAGCCATTTGATTAAAGGTGTACAACATATCTTGTGGCTCTCAATAAGTCTTAAAGTGCTTAGTTATTACTGGATTCGTTTTGAAACATGGTAGAGTTGGCTTCATCAAGTAGTAGATCACTGATTCCAAATTACATGACACTGCCTGCACAGCTGTTCTTTTTATAGGTGTCCTTTTTCTACAAAACAGAGAATTTTGAGGCTTGCAATGCCAGAAATGTTCTCATTTTTGCAATTTACTTTAATAAGCTTTGCTGTGCCTTTTCACACATGCGCATGTAAAGACTTCTTTCAACCTAAATGAAATACTGTAACTTTCTAGACAATGTAACTGGCTGAATTTCTGTTGCTTAGCCAAGTAAGTCTAGAGGCCCACTGAATGACTGGAGATTTGTCAGCTTCTCTGCAAGTTCCACTGATTGACTATGCTAAGGTAAGACACAACCAGAGTAGGCCCACTTGAATCAATAGAACTTATGAAAGAGGTGACTCACCCAATCTCCACTGATTCAATGGGTCTACTCTAATGCAACTTACTATGCCAAGCAACAGGATTTCAGCAAATCCATCCCCAAACTGCTTTTTAAAAAAGAGTTATAGCTCTAGGGTGAAAAAGATTCTTTATCCTGCTTCAAAGCTCTGTCATCTTTGGAAATATTCTTATTCTCCTATTTATTACTGCTTCAAGACCAGAATCTACATACTGCATTCAATTCAGGTATTAAAAGCACAAGTCCTTAATATCATCTTTGAACATTTTTTGCTGGGGTTTTTTTCTGTTAGTTTTTTGTTTTGCTCATCTCTCTTTTCTACACACACCACTTCCCTTATCAGTTTTCAGTAATTAATTTCTCTTTAGTGTTTTGATATGGGGTGCTTAATATTTACAGTAACTTTAAACAGGCTAGAGGGAAATAGACACTTCATTTCTGTCCTTTTTAAAGACTATTTTTAGCAGCAACTATAATTGCAGTTTCAAAAAGCATTAAGCCTAAAGCATTCTCTTTGTTACTGAATTAGTGAGAAAGAGGCCAGAGAAAATGGGGAAACACTCTAGTTTCCCTTGGCAACCACAGGACTTATACAAATGTATGAGCATACAATATCATTTCAATAGTTTACTTCTCACTAAGCTGGGAAAAAACCTTACTATCCCTCAATTTTGACCATTTCCGTTTGCATACAAAATTAAAAGTTAATTATACCAAATCAAAACTTCTTTTGCATAAATATACTCCTGCCAAAAGAACGCAAATTAAAGGAACAATCAAGATTTCAGTTAGGTTGCTCCTATTCTAAATACATTGGAATACAAATAGCTAAGAACGTCATTCAACTGATAATACGGAAATTAGAAATCTGTCCCTCAAATGAATAAAAGCTAGGCTGACTTAGTGCCAAAGCTTTCTCTGCTGCATCAGGCAGCAGCTATGAAGTCACATATCTTTGTAAGACTAATCTTCCTGTTCCAGACAATTCCTAGTAAGCTAGAGCTGAAGCATGGCAGATACGTCTTGGCTTTCAGGAAGAAATCTTGGGTTTTGTTTGGGGGGGGGAAGAGTTCTGGGGCAGGGAAGGGGAGGGTATAAAACCCTATGGTATCTTCATGGTTCCAGATCTTCAAAGGTACTACAATGTTGGCTGAAATCCAGTAGTAAGTCATGACTAGAGTTAGGCCCGTTAAATTAATGGAACTTAAGAGGAACTGAATCAACAAATCCCCACTGACTCAATGAGCCTACTATAGTTGTGACTATATACTGTTATACTGCAAGATATAACATTCTACCCACTGTGGGCTAATATCTTCAAAGACCTCACCTGCCCCTTATAATCAATGAGGCTCTATAAAGCTTTGTTTCTCTCTCTCTCACTTCACTTCACTTCAATGGTGCTGACTGACCGAGGAGGCAGAGACTGTGTGTGCTTGCCTGAGTTTGTGGGCGTTGCATGAGCTGCCGCCACCTTAATTTCTTTTACTGTTTGATATGTTTTGCTATGTAGTTTTATTGTTTACTTAGGATGTCCTGTTTTCCCTTTTCCTAAGAGAACTGGATAATTATTATTTATATTTTGTCTCAGTGTCTCAAACCCTTTTTTCCAACAGTGACTTACTACTGGATTTCAACCACTGTTTCAACTAAAACAATAAACACACTTGAAGAGAAATGCTGGCTCATTTCCTTGGTAAATTTGGAATTAAGTGACAAAATATGAACACCAGATGTGCTACCTTTTTAAGCAACTATATAAGAATCATCTAAGAAAAAAAATCCATTTTTGTTGCATATGACAGAAACCTAGCCATTCTGCATTAGACTGTTTGCTGTGTCCCACTCACAACTATATCCATTACTAGACCAACCTCAATTTAACTTCACCAAAAAGAAAGCAATATGAAAAAGAAAATCCATAGAATGAGAAATTTATTCTATAAAGGCCAACCACTGACAGCAGAAATACTGAAAGCTGAGCTTTTATAGGTTATAACTACTTGTCTCCAACTGAACCAAAAAAGATGACAGAATTTGTAATTTTTTAAAAAATGGAAAAGAAATTAAATAATATTTAATTTATCCTCCCTCCTGTCTTTTAAGGGGATGCTGAAGACTATCTTGTTTCAAGACCCATTCAAATACATCCTCGCTTTAGTGCACTGTTTCAGTATCATTTGAGCTTTTTATTGATTGTCTTCACTATTTAGAGGTGTTTAATATTGGTGTATGGGGCAGAGGGTTTGCGGTGTTGTCTTACTATAAACTGGTTAGAGTACTGCTTTGCACTATTGCATTCAATAAATAAAAAAAACATACAGTGAAAGAGGAATCACAATAAGAACCCACTGCAAGAGGGGGATGCAACAACAGTTGCTTTGGTGTTAGTGGTTTGCATTAACCTACTTTAGTCCACAGGACAGTATTGTACCAAATGTCCAAAAGGGAAATAGTGAGAAATGAATAGTGCTTGCAACGGTTAATTTACCTTGTCTGCATCTATTTTTCCTTTGATAAATTCCGATTTCCAGAACTGTAAAGCTTGTTCCAATGTCAAACCAATGCCTTTCAGAAACAAGCCATACTGCATACGGCCTCCATGGCGGAGGTGATGGTTATCGCGCAGAGCTTTGTGCAGCTGGCGCATGCAGGGAGGAAACGATTTCACCGAAAGCTGCAACAAGAAAACATGTATTGCAGATCTATTGTCTAGATCAGCTTGCAGGCTTTATTTTGATCACTAATTACATCCATCTGAAAAGGGGAACAACTTGAGAATAAAAGTCACCACTTCAATAAAAGTCTAAGCATTTAGACCTAATATTGGAATCCGTATAAGATAGAACAGAACTTCATGTGGTGGCATGACATCAGATCTGTGAATAGCTGTTCTACTTATTTAAAATACCTATTCATTGTCATGCATTGTGTCAGATTCTATGTAAAACTAACAAACAAATAAAACAGCTGGATGCAATGCTAAAACAAATGTAAACCTTGTTTATTTTTGACAATTATTGTTTACCTGATATATTACCTATACAGTGCAGTCAGAAAATAATATATCCCAACTGATGTTTTGTAATGCAGAAATGCATGCAAGTACTAGTTGAGTAAATAAACATAAACTTGTATCTACCTATATTGGGAAATCCAATCATTAATCCTGACTAGAATAGGCCTAATGAATCCATCAGACATATGCAAGTGTTGACCTAGTAAGTTCTATTCATTCATTTAGTTTGCAAAATCAGAACTGGAAGCAAAGAAGACAAAGGAGAAAGGGCACAAGCTTGCTGGCATATTACCAGTGACTGGCACTACATGTATGCTTTGAACATTCTTAGTGCTTTATGAAACTTGAAGCATTATTTATATTCACTGTTTTACTTGTTACATTTCTGTCCAGCTTGTTCTTTATATATATATATCTTATATAAATGAAAATATGCTCTGCCAGACTTCTCCTAACTTCTATTTCACTTTTTAAAATCAGTTTGAATTTTATAGGTAGAGTGAAGACAATGTAAATATGCTCAGCTGAAACTAAAGGAAATAAGTCGTGCATTCATTCCACTGAAATCTGTGGGATTTCTGGATCCAACCCATTATTATTTTCCATTTGTATACAGAATTAAGTTTCTTCACACAAACTGTATGATGGTCCAGGGGAATGTGGATTTCAGTATAAAAGCATAACATACTTACTGCATCTATCTGTTGTAACGAAATTTTCCCAATATTTTTTTCAAAGCTATAATCTGGCCCAACATATGCATGGCTGAAATGAGGAAAACAAAAGAAAAAACAGCAAAACAATTAATAGCAAATTTTCAGAATTTCAAAAAGATAGCTTTACTGTTACCTAGGGAACCTGAAATCAAATATGCTTATATTTCTATGAATTTTAAAAGTCATAATTCATAATAACAACTCAGCAATGTAATTCAATCTTGTGAAAGCCATAATATTTTGAGACTCTTAATTTGGAAGGGGGATAGGGGAGTGAGAAGCAATAAGAAACTATCTTTACCTAAGCCATTTCTGTCATTTTACCACACAAATACCATGATATATTTATCTGGAAGCATCATTTTCTGGGAATTGTGTTACAAATCAAATCCCAAGCTTAATTCTGCATTTCAATTATGAGCAAAACATTTCATATCTAATAAGGCAAATCAAAGTAGCTGTCCAAAGAAAGTATTTCTAGTTCTTCGGGTATAGATCTCCCAGTTTTTTTCCTATTAAAGGAATCACTAGGGAAAAATCTGTCTTCTTTATCAGAGAATGGTGACATCCGCTTGCCGGAACTGGGCCACGAATACGGATCTCTGCCCCCCGCATGCACATGTGGGGAGCGTATTGCGCTCACACATGTTGCACCCATGGGGGGCGTGTCACATTCGTGGGGGTGTTGCACCCGTGGTAGGCATGTCATGCTCACACGCATGCGCGACACACCCACCGCGAGTATGACACACCCCCTGCGTGAGCATGACATGCCCCCCACGCATGGAGATTGCTCTCACCAGCTGGTCCGCGGCTCTAAAAAGGTTGGAGGCCGTTTTTCTACTGCATAGGCTGGAAAATGTAACAGTGTTGGGGCCTCATACTGAAAGAAGAACTGTAATGAAAAACTACCACACGCATGCGCGACACACCCACCGCGAGTATGACACACCCCCTGCGTGAGCATGACATGCCCCCCACGCATGGAGATTGCTCTCACCAGCTGGTCCGCGGCTCTAAAAAGGTTGGAGGCCGTTTTTCTACTGCATAGGCTGGAAAATGTAACAGTGTTGGGGCCTCATACTGAAAGAAGAACTGTAATGAAAAACTACTCAGGGACATATATGGGGAGATGAGATG